TGAGCACAGTGAAAGATGGACAGGTGGGTCCGCGGAGAGGCAGTGGGGGGGAGGGGGGGAGGGCTATGCAGTAGACTCGATAAGTTAATGTGAACGTGGTTGTCGGGCCTCTCACGCTCGCTCCTCTCCGGCCGCACATGGTTGGGGAGGGACCAACCTTGGGGAGTGCAGCTTCACACCTGGTTGGTGTCCTTCGGCGGCATGTTGACGGCGAGGCCGACGGGGGTGGCGACGGCGTGGCCGACGGCACCTTTCTTCTTCTTCTTGAGGTAGCAAAAGGCGAGTGCGAGAGCGGCAATGGCCACCGCAGCACCAGCAACGATGCCCACGATCAACCCAAGGTTGTTCTTCTTGTTGCCAGCATCGTTGTTGCTGTCACCTAGCCAGCCTCCAGGTCCGGCGTTGAGGCACGGACCCGCCAATGGAGGATCCGCAGCAAGTTCGCCTACAAGGTGCGACACAGTGTTACAGGAGTTGTACTGTGATTCGTGAAGGGTAGCTTCACTGTCACTTGTAATCTTGGTGTTGAAGACGTCGGACCCACGCCAGGAACCCGTGATTTTGTAGGTGCATTCCTGCAGCTGGTCGAGAGAGGGATTGCGTGGGGTCATGGAAGCCTCAAAGGGGACGACGCCGACGTACTGCTTTGCCTCGAGCCGCACCTCGAATCGCGAGCAACCGGGCACTTCGCGAGTAAACGTGCGGGTGATTGTGGTGCGATCGGTCGTAGTTTCGCCCTCGGTGGTCTGAGTGCTCGTCTGCAGCGACTGGGTCGAGGCAGTTGACACCTCAACCGTTTGCTCGTCGACAGTCACGTCCACGTTTTCGATTCCCGCCTCCGCAGATGCGGACGCTTTGATGAAGGGGGTAAAGGAGGCCTCCACCCCGACATTCAAAGTGGCAAACGTTGTGGTGGTGATCTCGGACATCTGATGGTCCGTCTCCGTCTCCGTCTCCGTCTCGGACTGCAACTCGACAGTTCCCGACTCGAGCTCGAAGGTCGACGTCTTGGTAACCTCCTTCTCCAGAGTAAACGTTGCCGTGATAGGCACCGGAGACTGGAGCTGGTCGTAAACCTCGGTGTCGAGCATCAACGATTCGGTGCTCCCCGTGAGGATGGAGGCGGACGCCATATCGTACTCGACGTCGGTCATGACCCAGCTCGTCACGCCCACACAGACACTGCCGGGCTGCCATGGTGGTCGCGACGGAGCAGGTGATGGCGGTAGCGGCGGCGGCGACGGCGACGGAGGTGGTGGTGCTGTGTCGGCGATGAGCTGCCAATCGAAGTCGAACTCGCACACGCTGAACACCTCCCAGCCGTAGTCCTCGATGCATGTCGCCCATACCTGGATCGAGTCGGCGGTCGCAAACCCGGTGACGCTGGAAAGGTAGCGTGGGTTGCCCGCCAACGAGGTAAAAAAAGACGTCTTGCCATCCACCTCGAAATGGTAGTAGGAAACCTGTCCTGCACCAACGTCAATGCCAAGCCGGACTTTGCTCTCGTGGTGGTTCCAGGTGCTGAACTTGTTGATCTTGAGGCGGAAGTTGGAGTACTGGGTCCGGTCGATAGGGCAATCGTTGTAGTTTTGCATGTAAAACTTGCTGCCCTCGCTGACGCTTTGTCCGTTCTGGCCGTCCGAGCAGATGACCACACCGCTTGCGCACTCGGCGGTCGTAAAGAGGATCAACATCCTGAATACCTGCGCACGCGACGCGTCACGAGTCGGATCTCGGATGAGCAAAGTGTGACATGCGAGTGTGCAACAGCACACGTCAACGCGAGCAGAGAAAGTAGACATCAGAGGTTGGCGCTGAAGGTTGGCGCTCGATCGCTTTCTGCGACGTTGAAGGGTGCGTCAGCGAGGATTTTGGGCATCAAGCAATCATCGTGGGGCTGAGATGTGGTGCTTGCTACGGGTATGTCACGAAGCAGGCCGGGCGGCAGGGCGAGGGAGGCTGACCGATGAAAACGATACGCCGAATGTGCTCAACGACTTTTTGACCCGCCCTCTCCGACCAACCCTGCTGGGCAAAAGAGGCGGTCGGCGTCGCGGAAGTGATCGTTTTGTTTGCGCTCGCCTTGGTGTTCTGTTCTTTCTTTCTTCCCCTTCTCCCTCTCGGCTTTCAACTCTCTCGCCGCATGCCTGCCAGCCAAGGAAGGGTCTCGTTCGTTCACCGCCTTCCTTGACTGACTGACTGACTGAAGAGAGAGAGAGAGAGTAGAGAGAGAAGAACCGGCAGAGATTCTGCGCGCGAGAGAGATTTTTAGAAGCCAACAAGATGCGAGAGAGAGAGATTTTTAGCAATACCAAACAACTCTAACACTCACACGTCATTTGGGGCGTAATGTGAGAGATTTTTAGCAATACCAAACAACTCTAACTTTGTTTTTTGAGATTTTTGAAAACCAACAATCTGCGACCCGCCGGCGAGGGCGTCGGCGGCGCGATCGCCGCCGAGCTCGACGCGATGCAGGGGGGGGCGCTGCTGGCTGGCAGGGAGGGGAAGGAGTAAGGAGAGAGAGATTTTTGAAAAAAACCACAAACCAAAAAACCATTGGGGAACCTCTCTCTCACAGCTTGGGCCGTCGAGCACCGCCGCCACGCCGTGGTCCTCGCGTATTGCCATCGGCGCCACCGATCGCTTCCTTCCGCGCGTTCGTCGCGGGATCGTACCGCTCCACCGGAGCTGAGGAAGTCGTGGACTGTAAGCCTCACCTAAGATTCTTTTCTGTCGGCGCCGGTCCCTTTACTTTCCGCTGTGGTGTCTGGGAAGTCACTGGCTGGTGCGAACCGCCCGCCTGCGCGCGTGTGCGCCCCTCCCCTCGCGGCGGGCCCCGAGGCGGCCGGCCGGTCGCCAAAACACACACGCTTAAAACACACGCGCGCACACACGCACAGCTCTGTCTGCGTCGTGATGCGCAGAAAACTGCGTGATGCAAACTCGTCCCTCGTGCACGCGCAGGCGCACCGATGGCGACCTCAAAGAAGATTGAGGAAAAGTACCAGAAGATGCTCAAGGAGATCCAGAAGCGGCCAGAGAACCGCCACTGCTTTGACTGCAGCGGCCGCGGCAACCAGTACGTCGTGCTCAACTACGGCGTGTTTGTGTGCACCACGTGCTCGGGCATTCACCGTGAGGAGCAGCACAAGATCAAGTCGGTCGGCATGTCCACCTTCTCCACCGAGGAGATCAAGGCGCTCGAACGCGGCGGAAACGGAACCGCAAAGTCCATCTGGCTCGCAAAGGCTTGCGCCGCCCGCCCTCGCCACCCCTCGCACTCCGCCTCCGCGCCCGTTACCACGCCGCCGCTCGACTCCGCCGCCGCCCTCGCCGCGGTCGCACTCGCCACCGCTACCCTCGTTCCCGCCGCCGCGCTGGCCGCCACGAAGCGCCGCGCCGGCCCGTCTCTGTCTCCGTCCTTGCCTCTGCGCAGCCAGCCGCCGGCTTTGCGCGCTCTTGTGGAATGCACCTCCGGCCCACGCGCCCCCTTCCCGCCCGCCAGGCGACGCAGTCGGAAGGACAGCCGCCGCCGGAGGGCGACATCCCCAAGATCCGCGCGCACATCAAGGCCAAGTGAGTGCACCTCGCACACCGCTGCCGCTGCCCTTGTCCGCGCCTTGCCGTGCCGCCTTCGCCCCGCCGCCTCGCCGCCCCTCCTCCCTCCCCCACCCCGCTCTCGCGAGCACAGCCTTCGCTCCACGCCCTCTCCCACGCCCTCTCCCACCCCGCCCGCAGGTACACGCAAAAGCGATGGTATGACGAGGGCGGCGGCGCGCCGCCGCCCGCCGCCGCGCCGCCGCCGCAGCAGGCGGCCGCGTCTCGCGCGGCGCCGCCCGCGTTCGCAGCGCCGCAGCCCGCATTCGCGGCGCCGCAGCCGGCGACAGCACCGCAGCCCGCCGCGGGGGGCTTCAGCGCCGACTTTGGCGCTGCTTTCAACGGCCCGCCCGCCGCCGCCGCCGCGCCGCCGCCCGCGCCCGCGCCGGCGCCGCCGCCCAACGACATGGACCTGCTCGGCGGCCTCGACCTCGCCGCCCCGCCGCCCGCCGCGCCGGCGGGGCGGGATGGCCGGGATGGGCGGCGGCTTTGGCGCGTTTGGCGCCCCGCCCGCCGCCGCGCCCAACGGCGCGCCGCCCGGAGGCCCGATGGGTGGTATGATGGGGATGATGGGCGGTCCTGCTCCGGGCATGGGCGGAGGCCCGCCGCAGGGCATGCCGGGCATGGGAGGCCCGCCGCCGGGCATGGGGGGGCCGCCGCCGGGCATGGGGGGGCCGCCGCCGGGCATGGGGGGGCCGCCGCCGGGCATGGGGGGGCCGCCGCCGGGCATGGGCGGGCCGCCGCCGGGCATGGGGGGGCCGCCTCCTGGGATGGGGGGGCCGCCGCCGGGCATGGGCGGGCCGCCGCCGGGCATGGGCGGGCCACCGCCAGGCGCGCCCACGGGAAGGCGCGACTGCAGCCCGCCGCGCCTCGCTCCTCACCTTTGCGCGTCTCTCCTCCAATAGGCATGGGAGGCACGCCGCAGGGGATGGGCGGAGGCATGCCCGGCATGGGGGGAGGCCCCATGCCGGGGATGGGAGGGCAGCAGCCGCCGGGCATGGGCAGTCCGATGGGCGGACCTCCGGGAGGCGGCGGCTTCGGCGCCCCGCCCGCCGCGCCCGCGCCCGCACCCGCACCCGCACCCGCGCCCGCGCCAAAGTTCGGCGTCGCGGGCGGCGCGATCGACGCGGACCTGTTCAACATGGATTCGGCGGCGGCGGCGGCGCCCGAGCCCCTCTCGTACGGCTCGTCCGCGCCCGCGCCCGCGCCGCTGACGTACGGCGCGCCCGCTCCCCTCGACTACGGCGGCGGCGGCGGCGGCGGCGGGCCAAAGAAGCCGGACCCGGCCAACATCGTCGGCCCGGCGTACGGCGCGCCCAAACCGAGCATGGGCGGGCCGCCGCCGGGAAGGGGAGGGCCGCCGCCCGGCGCCGGCGGTGCAGGGCCGCCACCAGGCACATTCGCCCCCTCCCCGGCCACGATTTCCCGTCGCCACTTCTCGCCGCTGCCGCCCTCGCCTCCCCCCGCCCCACCCTGCCACCCTCGCCGTCGCCGCCCTCGCCGCCGCCGCTGCCGCCCGGCCGCTCACCCGCTCGCCCCCGTAATGCAGGCATGGGAGGGCCGCCGCCGGGCATGGGGGGGCCTCCCCCCGGGATGGGGGGAGCCCCGCCCGGCATGGCAGGACCCACGCCTGGCGGGATGGGCGGGCCGCCGCCGGGCATGGGCGGAGGCATGCCCGGCATGGGAGGCCCGCCGCCTGGCATGGGGGGCCCGCCGCCAGGCGCGCCGCCGCGAGCCAACCCGCCCCGAGGCCGCGAGAGAGCGCGCTCACCGCCACTCTCTCCGCGCCGCAGGCATGGGCGGTGGCATGCCGGGCATGGGCGGCCCGCCTCCCGGCATGGGGGGAGGCATGCCCGGCATGGGCGGGCCGCCGCAGGGCATGCCGGGCATGGGCGGGCCTCCGCCGGGCATGGGGGGAGGCCCCATGCCGGGGATGGGAGGGCCGCCACAGGCGCCGGCCGCTGCGGGCGGCGGCGGCGGGCTGAGCGACGCCTTCTCCGGCTTGGACCCGTTCGGCGGCAAGGCGTCTTCGGCGCAGAGGCCGCCGCCGCAGCAGCCGCCGCCGCAGGGGTACCCGCCGCAGCAGATGGGCGGCATGAACCCGCAGCAGCAGATGATGATGCAGCAGCAGGGCATGCGACCGGGTCGCGCGGCGGCGCCTCGCGGACCCGCCCCCTCGCGTCCTCACCCCTCTTGCTCCTTGGCTATAGGCATGGGTGGGCCGCCGCAGGGGTACCCGCAGCAGCAGATGGGCGGCATGAGCCCGCAGCAGCAGCAGCAGCAGCAGCAAATGATGATGCAGCAGCAGGGCATGCGTCCGCAGGGCTACCCGCCGCAGGGGCAGATGGGAGGCATGATGGGCCAGCAGGGCGGCTTCCCGCAGCAGCAGATGGGCGGAATGAACCCACAGCAGCAGCAGCAGATGATGATGCAGCAGCAGCAGATGATGCAGCAACAGCAGGCACGCTCTCGCCCCCTGCCCTCCCCGGCCACAACTGGCCGTCCCCACCCTCGCCGCCTCCCACCCTCGCCGCCCCCCACCTTCGCCGCCCCCCACCCTCGCCGCCGCCGCCCCGCTTCCCCCCGCCCCACCCCGCAGCCTTCCCCGCCGCCATCGCCGCCGCCGCTGCCGCCCGGCCGCTCACCCGCTCGCCCCCGTGCTGCAGATGCAGCAGCAGCAGCAGAACAACAGCTTTGGCGGGTTCTGACGCCGGCGCACGCACAGCGCGCCGCCGCTGTGCGCCTTGAGTATAGCGCGGGCGTGTGATGATTCGGGAGGCCGTCCGCGCCGCTCGAGAGCGGCCGATGGGGGCGCAGGCGGCGGCGGGCGGCGTGCGATTGTACTAGCGGCGAGGCCTTCGTCGACGGCGTGTGTCCGTGTGATATGTGGTGTAGCGCGGGCGAGCCGGAAGGGCACTGGGCAGCGGGGTTGAGTTTGTCACAACTCAAGTTTTATTATCGGACTCGGCTTGGTAATAACTCGCAAGCCGTAATAACTCGCAAGCTTGTCCCCTCCCCAAATCTCCTCGTCCCCTAGTTACTTTGCATCGCGAGGAACCGGAGGTGTTTCTTCTTCGCCCGGCGCCATGAGCGGCGCCATCCCCTCGACCGTCGAGAGCGCTTCGTCGAGCTGCCTCCCTCGCGCCTGGAGGCACCGCCGAGAGCGAGCCTTACCCCCCCCCCCCCAAGCAACCTCCGAGACTCCTCTCTCCCTCTCTCCGAGACTCATCTCTCCCTCTCTCCGAGCCAGGCGCTCGAGCAGCTCGAGCAGATGCGGGCCCTCGAGGCGGGGATGACCATCCTCGTCGGCGAGGTACAGTCCGCACGCAGCGGCGTGGACACGAGGGAGGACTACGAGATGCTGCAGCGCGTGTGGAGGGAGAGAGAGGGGAGCGCCCGGCGTAGCGAGCGAGCGAAGCGGGCGGGGGCGACTGCTATATAAAAGTACTATTCATTCGCGAAAAGAAGAAAAACGCCGGCCTCGCGCCTTTAGGTGTAAATTCTTGTTCGCTGCCGCCATGAGCGGCGCCATCGGCCCGGTCGTGCCCGCCGAGCTGTGCCAGGGCAACCTGGGCTCGCTGCGCGCCCTCCTCGCCGGGCGGACGCGCGGCCCAGCGCTCACGGCCCTGCTCGACACCCGGCTGGAGGCCAAGAACCACTTCACGCTGCTTATGATCGCCGCTCAGCACGGGCAGGCCGACGCCGTGCGGCTGCTGATCGAGAGCGGCGCGAGCGTGGGTGCGACGACGGGCCGTGGCTCCACCGCGCTGGTCATCGCGTGCCAGGAGGGCCAGCTCGAGTGCGTTCGGCTGCTCCTCGAGGCCAGCGCGGCGGTCAACCAAGCAGACGCTGACGGCTTCACGCCGCTGTTCATCGCATGCCAGAAGGGCCAGCTCGAGTGCGTCCAGCTGCTTCTTGAGGCTGACGCGGCGGTCGACAAAGCCACGGGCCGCGGCACCACGCCGTTGTACATCGCGTGCGAGAAGGGCCAGCTCGACTGCGTTCGGCTGCTTCTCGGCGCCAGCGCGGCGGTCGACCAAGCCACGGACGGCGGCGCCACGCCGCTGTTCGCTGCGAGCCAGAATGGCCAGATCGACTGCGCCCGTCTGATGCTCGCCGCTGGCGCTGCGGTGAACCAAGCAGACACTGGCGGCTTCACGCCGCTGTTCGTCGCGTGCCAGGAGGGTCACCTCGACATCGTCCGGCTGCTCCTCGAGGCCAGCGCGGCGGCCAATCAAGCCACAGGCCGCGGCGTCACGCCCCTGCACGTTGCGTGCCTGGAGGGCCACCTCGAGATCGTGCTCTGCCTGCTGCGGGCGGGCGCTGACACGGCGGCGCGCACCTCAACCGGGCATACACCGCTGCAGTTCGCCAAGGAGGAGGGCCACGCCGAGTGCGAGCGCGCACTCGAGGCGGCGTCAAGGGAGGCGAAGAGAGCGGAGATTGAGGCGAAGGTGGAGAGGGCAGTGGCCGAGAGGGCGGCGGCCGAGAGGGTGGAGGCCGAGAGGGCGGCCGAGGAGGCTGCGGCGGCGCTGCTGGCGGAGGAGCAGTCGGAGAAGTGCCCCGAGGAGAAGAAGAAGGCCAAGAAGAGGGGCAAGAAGAAGAAAGGCAAGGGCGGCGGGGGAGGCGCTGGGCCGTCGCAAGAGCCCGAGGCGCCGGCGGAAGAGGCGGCGGAGGAGGCGGGGGCGGCGGCGGAGGAGGCGGAGCTTGCGGCGGCGCTCGAGGAGAGCGCGAGGCTGGAGGAGGGGAGGCGGGCGGCGGAGGAGCAAGGGCCGTCCTCGGCTGCAGAGGCGCCGGCTCCGAGGGAGGAGGAGCCGCCGGCCGACTTCATCTGCCCGATCACGACCGAGCTCATGAGTGACCCGGTGATGGCGGCGGACGGGCATTCGTACGAGCGGTCGGCGATCGAGCGCTGGCTCGCGACCAGGTCGACGAGCCCGATGACGGGCGAGGCGCTCGTGCACAGTTTCCTCGCCCCCAACCACATGGTGCGCCGGCAGATCCGGGAGTGGGAAGAGGCGAACGCATGCTGTTGCTGAAGACGAGAGAGCGCAGCGCGTGCGCCGCCCGCCACCGTCGGCCGTCGCCGCAGGCGGCCGGGCGCGGCATGCACAGCTTACACACCCTCCCGCCGGTGCCGGTCTCGACACTCGACTCTCGAGAGACGCCTCCGGCCCTCTCCCGCTTTGGAATGGACAAAAAACGAGACGGCCAGGCAGAGGCCAGTGAGAGCGAGCACGCACACCCCTATAGCCTATAGGAACGGAACACCATTATTTACCCCGCCGGGTCATCTCGAGTGACCTTGCAGCCCGGCGCCTCGTGAGGCGCTGCTGACAGCGGGAAGGGTTGGGGGTGACGGGCATGTGTGCTGTGCCCGTCACCCCTCTGTACTGTGTCTACACGGGGAGTGGCTGGGCCGGGGAGTGGGTTGGGCGCTGGCGAAGTGAGCATCCTCGACCAAAGAGAGCGCCTCGCCATGGCAGTCTACACGTGCTCTGAGCCGCTGTCTCCATTCGCTGTGTGTTCCAGTTTGCCATGGTCATCGAATCTCCGTGTGCCAGATTGCGAGAAGTGAGCATGCCGAGCTAGTCCCGCGGCGCGAAGAGACCCGGGCGCATTGCAGAAGGCAGTTGAGCAGTGTGCGGTCGAGAGGCGTGGAGCGGTGGAGGAGGGAGGAGCGTGTCCGAGCTGGTCCCGCGGCGCGAAGAGACCCGGGCGCAGCACAGTTGAATAGGGTGCGGTCGAGAGGCGTGGAGCGGAGGAGGAGGGGGGAGCGTGTCCGAGCTGGTCCCGCGGCGCGAAGAAACCCGGGCGCATCACAGTTCAAGAGTAGGGTGCGGTCGAGAGGCGTGGAGCGGTGAGGCATAGAGCGGGTGGCGAGGAGGTCCAAGGGAGGAGGAGATGGTTGCTTCGTGGACTGCCTGTGAGTGAGTTGTCCGTCTGTCTCCATACCTTATCATCGCCTCGTCAGTGAGTTGTCCGTCTGTCTCCATATCATATCATCGCCTCGTGTGCGGCAGCGCCGAGCAGCAGAACGAAGAGCAGCGACGACTGCGGTTGGAGCGCGGGAGCGAGGGACGCGCGCCGCGGCGGAGAGAGCGGTGGCAGGAGGAGTGGCGGCGGTCTTCGGGATCGCATGTGCGTTGGTGAAGGTGCTGTGCGGCTGTCGGTGTCATCGTGGCTCCGTCACCATTCGTCCGTCACCATATCAAACCTACAGGCAGAAGGGGGGGGGAGTTAAGTCGTGGAGCTATGTGTGGGGGGTTGGTGCGGCGCGACCATATCATCGCCTCGTGTGCGGCAGCGCCGAGCAGCAGGACGGGTAGCGACTGCGGTGGAGCGTCGGAGCGAGGGCGGGGGGGGCAGGGGGCGCGGCGGCCGCACGGTGGCGGCGGCGGCGGCGGCGGTGGTGAGGGGGGGAGAGGGAGGCGACGGGCGGTGGTGGAGAGACGGCGCCAAATGTGGATCACGCTCTCTCACCGCATGCTTGCACCGAGGCGCCGAGGCGAGACGACGAGCGCGACTGCGAGGTTGGAACACCGGACGAGGGGGCGGGGCGGGCGGCGGCGGAGGCGGAGGCGGCGGAGGCGGCGGAGGTGGCGGTGGCGGGTGGAGCGAGGTGACAGAGGCGAAGAGGAGCTGACTGGCCTCGCGTGCCGCGTGCCGCCGAGCAGGAAAGTAGCGACTGCGGTGGAGCGTCGGAGCGAGGGCGGGGGGGGCGGGGGGCGCGGCGGCCGCACGGTGGCGGCGGCGGCGGCGGCGGCGGTGAGGGGGGGAGAGGGAGGCGACGGGCGGTGGTGTAGGTGGAGAGAAGCACACACGGACTTGCCGAAGGATGCTCGAGCCGGAGGCTTGGTTGCAACTGCGGTTGGCAGCGGAAGCGAAGGGCGGGGCCGGGCCGGGCAGGCGCAGTCGAGTGACACCCGGCGCCAAATGTGGATCACGCTCTCTCACCGCATGCTTGCACCGAGGCGCCGAGGCGAGACGACGAGCGCGACTGCGAGGTTGGAACTCCGGACGAGGGGGCGGGGCGGGCGGCGGCGGAGGCGGAGGCGGCGGAGGCGGCGGAGGTGGCGGTGGCGGGTGGAGCGAGGTGACAGAGGCGAAGAGGAGCTGACTGGCCTCGCGTGCCGCGTGCCGCCGAGCAGGAAAGTAGCGACTGCGGTGGAGCGTCGGAACGAGAGCGGGGGGGGGGCGGGGGGCGCGGCGGCCGCACGGTGGCGGCGGCGGCGGCGGCGGGGGAGGTGGAGAGAAGCACAGACGCGAACCGAAGTCCTGGACCTACCTGTCTCTATCCAACCGATGGCGTGAGATAGGGTGCTGACCTTTCTCGCCGAGGCTCGCCGTGGCCCCACACGGCGGCCTCTGCTCGCGTTTTCGAGCCAGGACCTTCGTCCGGGCCCACGGCCGGCACGCCGTCAAATTTTCTCGCCGATCCCGCGCGCTCGGCCGCCACCGCGGCGCCTCCGAGAGCGCCGTTTCGACACGCTGCAGCCGCGGGCCGCGGCACCTCGACACACCGCCTCTCGCGCCGCCTCGAGGTGCTCCGATCGTGCACGCGGGTCGGCTCGGCACGGTGCGTGCGAATTATTGCATGTATTCGCACTCGCTGCGCCACGTATCTGCCTCTGACGGCCCGATACGCCTCCCGAAGCGCCACCGGTCCACACACGCGGGGCTGCGCGACTCTCTCGCGGCCCACCGCCCTCCCACACGCCGTTCGACCTCCACACAGGCGCTCGCTCGAGCCTCGCCGTCCGGGCGGTCCTGCGCGTCCAGATCTCGGCGACCATGACCCGCCACGCGCCAGCTCTGCACCTCTCCCGCGCGCGCCCGGCTGCTGGCATGGCGAGGCGGGCGAGGCTGGCGCGCTGCGACCGGTGGAGCGCCGCGCGGGCAGCGCACCAGTCTCGCACGCACCTCTCCACTGCGCCGCGTGCGCCGAGTTGCGTCAAGACGCAGTCAGCGGCCTTGACGGGTGAGTTCACACATAGCTCGCGGTCTGAGCGAGGCTCTTGGTGCGGCGGCAGCGTAGTGTGTGTGTGCGGAAGCAGCGCTCCTCGAGCCAAGGCTCGATGGCGGACGAGCGGTAGTGCGCAAGGCGAAGGGACGACCGCAGACTTCACACCCAAAAAACGTCGTCACACTGGGGGGGGGGGGGGGCAATGCGGTAAGGCTGCCCAACGGGGGCTCACCCCCTGCACCGGGGGGGGGGGGGCAGTCCCGGGACTGGGATTGCGCGCCCCGGGCGCCTGTTCTTCGGAAAAGTGGACACGTGCGCTCCCGTTTTGTGAGAAAACCAAAAAAGAAACACATTCCCAGGGACCTCCGAAGCGGGGGGGACCGGGAGCCCGAGATTGTCCGTATCCATGTCCATGTGACGCGGGTCGCGGCGCGTCGCCTCTCGTCACAGTCTCAACACGCGATCTCGACCTGGGGTGTGTTGAGCCAGCGATCAGCACCACAAGCCACCACAAGCCACACCGTGACTACCCTGTGACCACATGTTGAGCCTCGCAGCACACTGCCAGCGGCGCACGCGGCGCAGTGGAGAGGTGCGTGCGAGGCTGGTGCGCTGCCCGCGCGGCGCTCCACCGGTCGCAGCGCGCCAGCCTCGCCCGCCTCGCCATGCCAGCAGCCGGGCGCGCGCGGGAGAGGTGCAGAGCTGGCGCGTGGCGGGTCATGGTCGCCGAGATCTGGACGCGCAGGACCGCCCGGACGGCGAGGCTCGAGCGAGCGCCTGTGTGGAGGTCGAACGGCGTGTGGGAGGGCGGTGGGCCGCGAGAGAGTCGCGCAGCCCCGCGTGTGTGGACCGGTGGCGCTTCGGGAGGCGTATCGGGCCGTCAGAGGCAGATACGTGGCGCAGCGAGTGCGAATACATGCAATAATTTGCACGCACCGTGCCGAGCCGACCCGCGTGCACGATCGGAGCACCTCAAGGCGGCGCGAGAGGCGGTGTGTCGAGGTGCCGCGGCCCGCGGCTGCAGCGTGTCGAAACGGCGCTCTCGGAGGCGCCGCGGTGGCGGCCGAGCGCGCGGGATCGGCGAGAAAATTTGACGGCGTGCCGGCCGTGGGCCCGGACGAAGGCGCCGCCGGCTCGGATTGAGCTCAGTGGCATCAGGGGCGCCTCCAGCACTCAAGACAGTAGCACGCTGTTTCTGTCTTGGCCGCCACTGACGCGAAAATCCTATCTCGCGCCCTAGTTGGGTAGCTAGTCCCTTGTTAGCCCCGAAAAATACTGTCCCGTTTTGCGCCGTGGCGGGCGTGCGCAATCGACACCAGAAGTGCATCCTGGACATGAGCCCAGAGGCCGAGAGACTGCTCGGAGGGGAGTTCCGGCTCCATATAGTGGCGCTAGACGAGGAGGGAAGGCTCGTGAGATGCAGCGTCACGACGGTCTCCCACAAGGCAGCGAGCGCGGAAAAGGGACCAGAGACGTCCAGGGGGTCGGCCCGTTACCTCGGGGCCCATCTTAGTGCTCGGGGGGGCGGTGGAGGGGGACCGGAGCGGTTCTGGGAGGAACAGGACGCAGTGGCGCGCAGAACAGCTATGGATGGCATTTGACAGAAGCACGGCATCCATCCAACCGAACTTCCCTGTGACGACGCTAGCAGCGGCGGGTGTGTTATACCAGCGAGTGAAGCTGATGTGGGTGGCCCACCCCCCGGGCCCCGAGGTGTTGGAGACGGCCCGTGTGGTGGCCGCTCGGGCGTCGTTGCGAGCCCTCCGGCTAGCCCCCACCCCGCTCACGGCCCAGCGCTCGGCGGCGATGGAGGTGGTGCTGCTCCCGCTAGACCTGGGAGGGTGCGGAACGATGGACCCGGCAACCAACCTGGCCAAGGACATAGCGGTGAACACCCTGGCGGGACTACAACACCAGGCTGCAGCGGTGAGGAGGTCGTACACCATCCGGATGGAGGAGGCCACACGAGACCAGCCGATGGGGGGGGATGACTCGGCGACGCGGAGGGAGGATACGGTGCGAGGCCTCGCTAACGTGCAGCTCCACCGGGGACGCCAGGACCCTCCCCCTGTG